AGTTGTTACTTCGTACGAACGCTCAGACCTTTAGTCTTCCTCCTTACTTAAGCTTGTTCGTACGTAACTAACCACGTCATTTAGTCACGTGACTAAAGTCATGTGATTCACTGCCATGTGACCTGTAGGTCATGCCTCTCTGGCGTAGCCCTTTACATATAGTACACTTTTTATCTACTTAGCCAATATATATTACTATATATTTATAATTAAAAACTTATAACTTACTACTTCTTTTCTAAACTATATAGTTTTTTATAAGCTACTTAATTTTCTTTTGAAATAGCTAAGCACGCTATACTTTAAGTAGCTTAAGATATTTAAAAAAAATTCTCGAATTTTTACATAAGGTAACTTTTAGTAGTGTAATTGGAATCTTTAGCGCGTTAGAGAGCCTTCTTTTTTTAGTTTAGTAATATAGCTTAATCTCTCTACGCTATAGTATAGCTACTAGTACTTAGCTAGCTATAGAATAGTATACTAAGACTTATTAGTTAGCCTTCATAAGAACCTCTTAAACTACGCTATACTAGAATGTTATTAATCTTATCTTACTTATCGTTATATCTCTACTTAATTTAGTAAATAATATAATAAATAACTAAGATAAATATTTTAGTAAGTTTAGCTTACTTCTTAAAAGTAAACTTCTCTAGTAGTTTAATATCTTATGTAAGAGCTAAGCCCTTTAGAGTAATATTATTATTAAATTCTTACTTATTGAACTATATAGTTAGCTATAATCAAGATCTATAATATTATAAAAGTTAAATAGAGTAGTAGTAGTAGTAGTAGTTAAAGTAGTTATAGTAGTAGTAGTAGTAGTAGTAGTAGTAGCAGTAGTAGTAGAAGTAGTAGAAGTTGTAGTAGTTGTAGTTGTAAGAGGCTACGCCTAAAGTGTGTGTGTGATCGAGTATATCTATACGACTACCTAGACTTCAAGAAGCTTGAAGTCTTGTTACTGCCTTTTTGGCTATGGATGGCGTAAGTAGTCGTACGCTCGGCCCGTTGGGCCCGCCCATTACAGTAGTAGTAGTAGTAGTAGTAGTAGAGTAGTAGTAGAATAGTACGTAGGTAGTTTTATTTAAGGTAAAGGTAGAATACTATTTTTATTAAGAGCGTTACGCTATAGGCGCTAGCGCAGCGCTAGCGCTCTATAAGCCTAGCTACTACTTACTGTTACAAGTAACAACAGAAAGGATCTCCTTCCCTGTGCTGATGGTATAGTGGTTAGGAAGCCACTTGGGATACCAGCGGGAAATGATGGACGTGGCGGGGTCAAGTCACGTGATGTGCCATCACGCTAAGACGGTGCCATTAGTGATGGCAGGACCCGCATGTGATGGCAGCTATCAGAAGTGGAGACAACCATTAGTGATGGCAGGTCGAAGTTCTGATGGCAAGACTGGAAGCAATGAGGATATAAGGATGGATGGATTTCATTATTACTCTCGTTGTGGTTAACTTAAATTGTACTTTCTTACTAGTTACTCAACTTCACAAGATTAATACTCGTTAATCTATTCAATATAGATTAGGAATTGTCAAACCTTTTGTTATCTATCTTACAAGCACGCCCACTCCACTGCATCGCTAGACAACCACCTCACGGCGCTCTTCACACCATCTCACTCGCCCTAACCCGGATTGAGCTTAGAGAAGTATCAGCACCCAACCCCGTGTAACACTTTGACCACCCACGGATTCAGTGGATTAGAAGATTAACAACAGGACGCCCGATTAAGATTCAAGATGTCTCACAATCACTCTCAGTCGCAGGCTAGTACCGGTGGACCAGTACAGGGTCCCGGACCAGAGCCGAACCCAGCACTCGATGACGAGATGCTGACTCCGAGCGACGATGAAGAAGATATCGAGAACCCAAGAGAAGTGGTTCATAATCTTAGGCGACAGGCCGAGCTCCAGGCACGACAGATGGCCGAAATGCAAAACATGATAAACTAGCTCACGAGTCAGCTGATGGCCACACTAAACGAAAAACCTATCAAGAAACCCAAGATGGCAACCCCAGACAAATACGATGGTAACCGGGAAGGGTTACGAACGTTCCTCACCACTATCGAGTTATACTGCGGCTACAACGAAGTGCCACACGACGAAGAGAAGATTCTCATGGCCAATACCCACCTAAAGGGAAAAGCGGCAAGCTGGATGCAACCCTACGTGGAGGATTTTCTAAAAGACATCAACAACAAAGGAACAAAGGACGAGACGCGTACCTTGTTTAGCAGTTGGACTAACTTTAAGGAGGAAATGGGACGCATCTTCGGGGAGGTAGACGCGGAGCGCCAGGCGGAGAAAGCGATATCTCGCCTGAAGCAGACCAAAGCAGTATCGGCTTATACGGCGGAGTTCAAGCAACTACAGGCGCGAATCAATTGGGATGATTCAGCACTCCGAACGGTATACGAAGCAGGTCTGAAGGAAAATATCAAAGACGAACTTGTACACTACGACAAGCCAAAGGATTTGTACTCGTTGATCGAGTTGGCAACAAGAATTGACACGCGATTATGGGAACGAAAAGAAGCCCAGAAAGGATACAGACCAGGGCCACCCTTCGCCAACACCCGACGACATCGGAGTAACAAGGATCACGACGGAGACACTTACATGACTGGCAAGGTATAAGACAAGTCTAAGGATAAGAACAAAACCCAAGGAAAGTTTAACGACGGCCTTTCCGCGGAAGAACGCAAGAAGCGTTACGACAGTAAGGCATGCCTCCGCTGTGGCGAAGTAGGACACTTCCGCAGGGACTGCCCGAAGAACGAAGCCAAGCAAGGAGCGGTCAAGATTGGGATGCTACGGATAGCAACACCTTACCCGACCGAGGAGCCAGACGAAACGCTCAGCGACCTAGACCTGTACGACGAAGCAAGACAAGCCACCGACGAGGCCTTTAAGCTAGTACAAGAGGCAATAGGACTCCAAGACTTCAAGTGGGACGACCCACTACCAACGGATTGGCAGGTTGAAGGGGCCGAAGTACTACGCCGCCTAAGAAACCAACAGTGCTGGATTTGTGGAAATACCAGGCACCAAGCCAACGATTGTGACATTAAAGGACGAGTCACAATTACGGGGCCTAGAGCAGAGGAAATTGCCTGCAAGGATGCCCAGGAACAACCTAGGTTCAAGGAACCTAATGACGAGGAGACGCCTCGAACGTTCAAGGAACGAATAGAGCGAACACGAG